ATCAATGAAACCACAAAGAGGATAAACAGATTCGAATGTACCATATCAAAATTTAATGTCTCATTTTTTAAAATTGTAACTCAAATGTGAATATACTGCAAACATCAATATACAACACAACTATAAATAATTTTAATATTTAAAGAACTGACAAAAGTCAGTGAGTGAGTGTCACATAGGTTAATCAGGACAGAACATAAGAATTTATAGGATAAAATAAATGGAAAAACTCTCAACATAAACATAAAAATGTAAATATAAAAACATAAAAATGTAAACCTAAAACAACCATTAAAAATGTCAGATTACAGATAAAAGGGTATTGAAACTTACATTCTCATAAATTATAGTTAGAAATATGTATTGCGGCCGGGCGCGGTGGCTCACGCCTGTAATCCCAGCACTTTGGGAGGCCGAGACGGGCGGATCACGAGGTCAGGAGATCGAGACCCATCCCGGCTAACACGAGTGAACTCATCTCTACATAAAAACACAAAAACTAGCCAGGCGTGGTGCGGGCGCTATAGTCCCAGCTACTCGGAGGCTGGGGCAGGAGAATGGCGTAGATCCCGGAGGCGGAGCTGCAGTAGCTGAGATCCGGCCATGCACTCCAGCCTGGGCGGCAGAGGAGACTCCGTCTCAAAAAAAAAAAAAAAAAAAAAGAAATATGTATTGCTACAAAATTTGAGGAAACAGTTGAATAACATGCATTTATAGCCTTAAAATATCATGTCCTGTGTCATGTGAACATCTGTGTTAACAGAATCTGTGTGAAAAAATGCTGTGTGGAAGAAAGTGCTTATGGTGGCACTGTTTACCATAGAAAAAAAAGTAGGCAATGATTACATTAATTATTGTTTAATCTACCCAATGGAAGATTAAACAGTCATTGGAGGAAGAAATATTCACCATGAATATACAATAAAAAGGGAAAACATGTTATGAAGTTAAGTGAGTTAAGAAAGATTAAATTGGTTATTCAGGAGGATCAAAACTATGTTTAACAAAACTATGTTTAACAACAACAAAAAATCTCCTATTACTACTAAGTAAGCATACTGGAAAGAAGTCTAACTAATTAATTACTGTCTTTAGGTGTCAGAACTCTGGATTTTCCTTTTTAGTTTTTCTACTTTTCAGAATTTTCCAAACTTTTTGTAGATGTCAGTTTTTATCATACGAAAGAATATACTCTTTAATTTTAAAAATACTTATTTTGTTTATTTAATTTAATTTTATTTTTTTGGCACAAACACCAACCAAGTCTCTGGTTAAAAGCTAGGAGAAAAGGCTGTGTGCTTCAGACCTCCTGCTATAGATATGTTGCCTCTGGACTCTTCCTTTCTTTTTAAGATTATACATTCCTGGTGGCACCCACTTAGCTCTGAGCACCTTTCTTGAATTACAACACAGAGTCCTGCCTTCTCTTCCTTTTTTAAAGAAAACCCCACTTCTAGATTAGCAGATGAAGCTTGTTTTGGCCTCACACCATCCAGGTGAGGTGCGGTGGCCAGGCTCCATTCCGTCTACCTGAGAGATGCAGTTCTTGCCACACACAGAAGTTGTAGCTTCCCTTTGCTAGTGATCTGTGTTCTCCTTCTGTGACTGTTTTGTCTCCCTCTTGATCTTCCGCTTCATCTGTCATGTAAGTAAAGATAGGGACTGTTTAGGCTGGGTGTGATGATGTCTGCTTGCTCAGAGGGTTTCTTGATCGAACCAGCTCCAGCATTCCTTCATGCTATTTATCAGTCTGACAGTTGCTGCTGCTGCAACAGGAACCTCTTTCTTGTCTCCTCCCTGTTGCTAGTGGTAATTCTGCTACTGAGGACCTGTATGAAGTTCTCCTCCCTTTGCTAACCTGCTTTGTAGGCTGCAACAGTCAGCAGCCTCCAAGTCATGAGCACGGGTCAACAGCAACTGAAGAGGACTTTGCGGTGGGAAGGGGAAGGGCTGTGGTTGTCCTGACTGAAGGTCTGTCCCTGTGCTGCCCCCAACCCTGCTCTCAGATACACATCACGGCCCTCTGTGGCTGATTCCAGAGTCAGTCATGACCTCTCTAGCCTCAGTTCCAACAGAAGTAAAACAAACAGACAGGATTGGGATCTCACAGGTTTCTCTATTTTAAAATGATAAGAGGGTGCCTGCAAAAGCTTCACTCTCTTCCCAGTCTTGGATTTGAGTCTCTCCAGCTCTCCTGGTTCTGAAATGGCCAAATCTCAAGCAATACTCAGCTCCCACTAGAGCCAACAGGGGTTCTCCTGGGTTAAAAAAATGATGACATCCCTACCCCATATTCCACTCACAGCTACAAGTAAAAGACATATTTTTATTTTTATTCGAGACAGCATCTCACTCTGTCTCCCAGGCTGGAGTATAGTGACACAATCATAGCTCGCTGTGCCCTCAACCTCCTGGGCTCAAGCAATCCTCCTGTCTCACCCACCCAGGTAGCTGAGACTATAGGTGTACCATCATTCCCAGCTAATATTTTTAGGTTTTTTTTTTTTTGTAGAGACGAGGCCTTCCTATGTTGCCTAGGCTGGTCTCAAACTCCTGAGCTCAAAGGATCCTCCCACCTAGGCCTCCCAAAGTGCTAGGATTACAGGCATGAGCCACCAGACCCAGCAGAAGACATATTTTTAATTGTAAGGTGTTTATGCCTCAGAGAAGTAAACCAAAATTAAGTGTTTTGCAAATATCTTGAGGACATTTCAAAATTATGCAAGGTTAAATAGGTGTGGCTTATGATGATGGGCAGTGGGAATTACCTAATAAAATATCTTCACCTTAGTAAAGTTGGTAGCTATCTAGCAATTATAAAACTTGGGAGATCTCTTTGTCCTGTGGTTCCTGAACGTGGTGATGATAGGGAGATTTTGTGAAATGCGTTTTAGTTCTTTGTACAGTTTATAGATCATGAAAACCTGTTGTCATATAAATCAGGAAGGATAATGTAGACTGCCTGAGGAAACATGTTGCTTATCCTCATTCCCACAAGCACTGTGACCCCAAACACAAACCCGACCAAAAAAATACATAACACTTGCCTTTTCCTGTGTCTTCCTAACCAGTTGTTTTTCATTTTTTTCTGTCCTAATAACTGATGCTGGACTGACAAAAGAAAAGTTCACTGCCCTGCCCTAACACTGTCATCAGTATCCACAAGAACAGGACATCCTTGGCCCCTCTTCTCAGTGCTAGCATGGCCATTGTCCCTGTCTCACAGTCCGATTTTTCTGTTCCATAACCTGAGGCTCCACCATAGTTTCTGTCTTTGAGAACTCTGGCCACAAACCCTAATATCAAACATCAAAAGCTACATTAGAATGGACTTATACGAGTTTCTAAACTTTTGACATTTAGCTAGTATTTCCTTTTATGTAACTGAATGTGTGTACATGTAAATCAGAATTATATAATTCCCTCTATGTAACCAAATATATGTATATGGAAATCAGAATTATATAGATACTATATTATTAGATTTTATATTTATCGTTAGATATTATGTAATTATATAGATATTAAAAATAAATTTTCTCACAGTCAATTATAAAATGTATATCTTCACCATAATATAATTGTAGCATTAATTTTAGTGGCCAAAACTCTCTTTAAAGCATATTTCCAAAAAATGATTTGGAGCTGATTTTTCTGTTATAGAATTACATCATTCCTTCTGGTGACTTGTTGATGTTGTCTCCGTTTTGGCTACATAGAAATCCAAAGTATTTTCCTGAGCCTGAATTGTTCAAACCTGTAAGTTATCTCTTTCAGTATATATTATTCTTTAATTTTAATTTCTTTTTATTTCAGGAGTGTAAATTCATAAATTAGGACTATGTAATTAAGCACCCATATTTCTCTTGTAACTAAGAACAAAGTTGACTACAAAGTATAGAACAGATTTGCAATATAGACAATGCAACATTTACAAATCAGTTAGAAAAGTTTTTGTAATAAACTTCTCTAACTTTAAAATAAATTTTACATCAAACCAGAAGGGCATGTTCAAGTAAATAAGCCTATTTTTGATAGAAGACTTATTTCATGTTCTTTAGGCAATTGCCTCTGTCATTGGTTTCCAAGGAGTACAAAAAATACAAATAAAGCAAAATAAAACTGTGATCTGCTGTTTCTTAGAATTGGAAAGTTACAGGACTGAACAGAATGTTAAGAGGTCATTTAGTCTGTTCTCTGCCTTTAGGTAAAACTGTCAAAAATGGCATCTAGATGCATTCATTCTGCATCCCAAGCTTTTTCCAACAGGCAGGGATGTCAGTGTCTTATTACTAAATTTATTACCAACAGCAATTTTATGATGGAGCCTGAGACCTTATTATAAATATTCTTCCTTTTCTTAGGTCAATTCTGTGGTTGATTTACCTTATCATTTACATTTACCACTTAACAGAATTTTTTTAAAACCTTTTTATTTATAAGTTCATGTTCCAAAAACACAATTGTGTCTAATATTAATAACAGGGTGGAAAAAATTACCAACAACCCTGCAACTTTATATGCAAGGATTAGCTGTACAAGGTCATTTTTAGCCTAGAGAAATAAAGTTAAGCTTATTTATATAAGGCTGATTTGGAAAAAAAAAAAATGTTTTCTTCCCACAGGAACGTTGGAAAAAGGCAAATTTAGAGAAGCACTCTTTCTTGGACTGCTTCGTGGCATTTGGAAGCGGGAAGTTCCAGTGTCCTGGAAGGTCAGTGAGACAGCTGGGCCACATTTATCCAGAAAGTCTGCAGAAAGATGATGGCTCAGAGGGGGAAAACTTGTGTGTGTGTGTGTGTGTGTGTGTGTGTGTGTATTTAAACTATAGGGAAATCCAGAAGAACACATTTGTCTGGTTGACCTGTGGTCCTGTGCAGTGTCTCTGTGGGAATATCTAAAGTGGCTTCTAACAGAGGATCTCATGAGAAGAGAAGTTTATACTTGCCAGATGCCGCATCAAAGCAGCAGTTATGGTTCAAATTGTCAGCTTTTGTACAAACATAATTGGAAGTGATTTGAGTACTACCTTCTTTAAAAACAAAGATAGAATTATGTTTCTTTTACTACAACATTGTCATGGATATTTGCTAGGGTTACAGAACATCTTTGACTTGGAGCATAGCAGGAGATTACTAGATGGTTTTGGTCTATGGTGTTGGTTTGTGAAACTTTCTTTTGATACCTTATGTAGTTAAATTAATCTGGCACTCAGTGCTCCTCAGTGTGATACCCTGTTCTAATGCAAGTGTCCATTGTTTAATGAAAGTTATTATTATCTTTATCTGTTCAAGAAGAAAAGGTTTTTGAACATCTCATCTGTGCCAGGCCCTCTGCTAAGCTTCAGAGAGCACTGAGGAAGACCAACATGGTCCCTGACTTAATAGAATTTACAATCTACAGTAAATATGTCCCATTTCTTCATTGGGGATGATTCTATAGGGGAAACGTCAGTACCTGTTTATGACAAAATCTCACTCAATGAATGTAAAAATCCATTAAATTTTTATATTTGAAAAATTGTAGTTTCTTGAAGTCAGTCATCTTCACTATTTGAACAGTAAAGCGAGCCCATATTTACAGTCATTACTTGCTCCACAGTATCCATTCCATCCTTCTGCTTTTCATGTATTTAGAGTATCAGTATGATTGTAGTAATTTACGCTTGCCCTAAAATAGTATTAATTAGTCTTAGCCAATCATGGAAATTCTATCCTCATTTTAGACATTATTCTAGAAACCTAAGCCTAAGCAAATGGGTACCTGGCGTTTTGCTGAGCTGCTTGTCCTGAGGTAGGAGTTGAGCTAAACTGGCCAATCAGAGTGAAAGGAGAGACTTCTTCAGGATGAGGCCCCGTTCATCCTGTCCCACTGGATATGAACAAGGAAGCATGCAGCCTCAGATGTTACTAGCAGCAAGTTCAAGAGGAATAAGCTATATGATGGTGCAGTCTGTAGATGGCAGAGCAGAAATATATTAGGAGCCTGAATCCCTGAAATCTCAGTAATATTATTTTGTTGCTGAATTCATCAGTTTTGAGGAACTTATCTACTTTCTGTTATGTTAGATAATAAGTGTCCTTACTTTTCAAGTCAGTTTTAGTTGAGGGTTCCATTGTTTAGAGCTGAATACCCACCATATACTGAGATGCCAACCATAAAACTCCAAAGTTGAACATTGTAATTGAGTGTCAGTTACTTTAGGGACATCATATAACACACAACAATGTTAGCAACAAAAACCCATCATACTCATCCTGCCTCTTGTATTATTTTCACTTTAGAGAAGCAGTTCTTAAGCCAATAACAAATTTCTTGTTTTTGTCACATACCAAGTGTCAATGTCCTAAGAATAGCTCTTCTAAAAACAATAGATGCTACTTTTCTTCAGGTGTCTTTATATCACTATATATATACACACATACACACATACACACACACCTATATATTGGTATTAATTTGCTTTATTTGTATTTTATTTATATATACCTATATATAGGGGTGTATATATATATACCAATAGCAACTAAAGAATTTATTATAATCATCCTTGACCTGGAGCTAGCAGTATTTTAAACCAACGACTGAAATCTCTTGCAATGGAGTATATAGTATGGGCCAACTATCAAGGATTACCTACTGACTACTGTTTCCAAGAGGGGCTTTTACTACCTTCTATGATGGCTTTTGAAGCTAACAGACATTCTTTTTGAGTTGGAAAGTAATTGGTATAGTAAAGGGAACCATGACGCTGCAACTCAATCAATAGTATCTTCTTTAGACATAAACTACATATTTTTACAGTGCGCTGAGCTCTTACTCTGTGCAAGGCAGTGTTCTGGGTACCACAAGGGCTTTGGGCATGAGTAAGACATGTTCTCAACCCACATGAGAAACAACTTAGTAGGGGCAAAGTGGACATTGAATTAATAAATAACTGCAAGGATTTCTGGTTGAGAGATGCCAAAGCATCACACTGAGCTTCAAGAGAAAGATACGTCTGGATAAGATGATCTCAGAAGATTTCCTGGGGAAAGTGGCAGAAGATCTTTTAGCTTGAGACAACAGAATGAGCAAATGGTTACTAAGCACGGAGGCGTGTGGCTTAAGGCCTTATAGTTTTACTGTTACTGGGACCAGATTGCAGTGGTGAGAAGTAAGACTGAAAAGGTACACTGGCCCAATTGAAAAGGCCCCGTAATACCTGATGTATGAGTTTATTTGCAGCTCACATGGCACTAATAAAAAACTAAAAGGTTTTGGGCAGAATGGATTTGTGTGAAGCATGACTTAGGTTATATGGTTATGCTAATATTCTATGTGTGAGACACGGAGTAGTAGAATCTACCAGATTTGGAAGATGATTAGAAGTGTGGGTCAGGTGAGAGGAAGGCTTTGAGGTGGACTGTGGCTTTAAATCCAGCTGTCTGGTAGAGGTGGTGGAAATAGAGAAATCAGAAACAAGAGAGAGTCTGGGAGCAAGATCTTCAGTTTTCCTTTGATAGTCGAGTATGTCAAAATATATATCACTTAACCAAAATCTACCAGTTAAATATAAATGTTGAATACATGTGACCTATTTAAGAAACCTCAGTAAGTTTAGTTTTCTACTGTTTCTGTTTTAAAATGTCATTAATTTTTTCTTATCATTTATTAATTATTTTAAACAGCCAATTCATGAAATGTTTTGTTTCTAAAGAGAAATAAAATCGAAAATTGCCCAGGAAAGCAAATGACTTCATTTGGACAATGTATACCGAGATAGATTTTTTTTGCACTAGAAATTTAATCCCACAAATCCTTAGTTGTAATCCTCAGAAAATTGCACTCATTCTTGATTTGTGTTCCAGGAGCCAATTTATTTTCTCATGCACCAAATACTCAGTGAGTCAGAGAAAGTTGCCCGTAATATGGCTGATGATCAAAGTTTGTCATGAACACACACTCTTATGGCCTTGCAGCTATCACTTGTTGGAGTTCAAACCCCTGAGGTGGTATAAGAACCCCTCTCACAAGTAAACACAGAAGGTTGTGCTGATTTAACTCAATAAGTACTCGGTGCTGCCGTGGGATAACAACTAAAAATCAGAATGGAAGAACTGTGGTTCCTCTTCCTATTCGTGGGGGTTCTGAAAGTAGGTTTGGAGCAGGATCCCACTGCTAGGCACTTCCTTGTAGCACATGGAAGAAAATCTTTCTAGTAATTCTACTACTGGAGAAGTCTGGTGATTTGTTTTTGTTTTGTTTTGTTTCGGAAAAACAAACAGGAAAGAGCAGTATGAACCACCAGACTTGTTCAGAAAGTGCAGCTTGTAAAGTGAACAGTCTCATTATAGTGGACAGTGTCACATTAAACTGTACTATTTAAATGGAGGAATAAGACGGAGGACTTTCAGTGTAGAGGACAACTCCTTTGAGTGAGCATCTCTGAGAGTTGATGATCTTAGGCATATGCTTGCTATACCTGTCCCCTGGAACACACACCAAAACCAACAGGCTTGATTTTCCTTGGTTCTGATTCCCGCAAGAGACTGCCTGGCTGGCTATGTCATTGTGCAAATTGATAGGCTTAAACTCCGGTATAAAACAACAGCCCTGATCTTTGACAAGATTAATCTGCTTATAAAGGCATGCTTGGATAAGAAGAGGGTGTAATAAGAGGAAGGCTGCAATACTTGAGAAGTGAAAATGACGCATGGATTCCTCAGGAATAGAAAGTGTGATTTTTACTTTTTGTGTGTGTTTGGGTCTTTCATGTATTCTGGGGAGTCCTAGGCCACAAAGTCATGGACTTGTCTTGAATTCCTAATGAAAAATCACACATCTATTGGAAAATTAATTAAAATCAGAGGACCATCTAATAGTAATTTAGTAGTACTGTTTTTAACCAAACATCTCTGAAGCATCTAGTATTAATACAATTATTCTTTTATTCGATAACTATTTACTGAGTGTGTGCTATGTATCAGGATAGGGTTCTAGCAGTTATCATGGAAAACAAATCAGATGGAGCCCCTTTCCTTGAGGATGTTATATTCTTACCCAAGTCACTTTATTAAAAACTGGGAAGAGTCAAAGACTCATAACATTTCTGAATTGGTTATAATGTGGTTGGGGAAATGAGACAGCAATATGAAAAACAAGCCCTACTTAACAGCTTAAGATGGCACATGACAAATGCCAGAAGACTCAGATATGTAACAACTGCCATAAGAATTTGGAAGAAGGACGATTAGAAAAGGCTTTTGGACTAGATGAGAATAATCAGTAAACAACATAAAAGAAAGCTCAGCTTCCTAAGATTCAGCAGTATCAAATTTCAAGGCAAGAAAACAAATTAAGTGCTCATAGGAATATAATGTACCCATATGTTAGTGATAGCAAGGCAATCATATATTTGGGACTTTTGATGCTCTGAGCACTTTTTTTTTCTATATATTTATGTTAAAGATAATGCCATTTTAAAAGCTGTGCCTTATATAGTAAGTATCTGCACACTCTTGTATTTGAGAAGTGTTATTAGTAGCTTTCTGACTTTTATACTTAGAAATAGCTGATTGCTTTTAAGGAATGAGCAAATTTAAATCCCCATGGATTTAATGACAATTTAAAAATCCAATCTATTCTGAGGAATTTGTTCCATAAACAAATGCATTCCCTCAACTCTAGTTGTTAAATATAATTAAAGGAACTGTATTTACTTGTATAATTGTT